TATAATTTAGGTAAAACTCTAAAAGAAAAGGCTTCGTGACATTTATACTTTTCAATGATTCGTAAATACGTGATTACTAGTGCAGGCTACTAGTGCTCCAAGACATGGAAACAGATTTTTAAAAATGCCGAGATGTACCGAGCTAGGTCAGGTTTAGGTCGGCATTTTTTTTCCGACCTCAATTTTGACGGTTTTCGAGGGCTGATTTAAAAATTAAAAGGTCAAAATTTGTGAATTCCTCCATTTTGAAATTTTTTACAGCAATAAACAAAATAAAATTCAAAGTTTGTATCCTGAATGCTGATTGGCTAGTTGTAAATACTAGACTGATTTTCATTGGCTGTAGACAAGAGTGCGATTACAGCTCAGAAAAGGTGCGATTAATGCTTAAATCGCACTCCTGTAAACCAATGAAATTGCAGTATTTGCCACTGATTACAGAAGATAAATAATTAATGAAATAATTGCACTCCTCTTAACCAATCAGATTGCAGTAATTTTGTCATGTTTATAATAATTATTATTATTATTATTATTATTATTATTATTATTATTATTATTATTATTATTATTATTATACATTTAATATGTATTCTCGTTTCTAATTGGTCAGAAAGCACCGGCTAATATTCAGTATTCGGCATTTATTACGTATTTTCCGCCGTTGACGTCATCAGCGTCCAATAATTGTTTTTTTGGATCGAACTTGCATCCAAAAAAAAAATTATTGGACTCTCTCGTGCCCAAACCCTTGCGCGGCCAAAAGCTTGAACCTATAAGCGCGCGAAAAAAAACAAACAAACAATGGCCTACAGCAGATTTGCTTCGCTGAATGAAAGTGAACTCTCCAAATTATTGGCAGATAAGGATAGTGAAAGCACGAAAAAAAGCCACAAAGGGGTAAATAGAAGTAGAAATAGAATATTTAGCTGACCTTTGACTTTGTGCAAGGTGTTTGATACTCAAATTGTACTTTTCCTACCTCATGAACAGGAATCGTTTTATACCTTTCTCATGTCTTTAAATGTATAATAAAACAATTATTGGATTCGGTTTTCGCATGATATCAAGAATTATTCTGACCTCGGTCTATGTTATCCGCCTCAGCTTCGCTTCGGCAGATAACATTGACCTCGGTCTGAATAATTCTTGATATCATGCTCAGCCTCATCCAATAATTGCTTATTATCTGATTGTATATGCATATATTGCATGTACTTTGTTCTGTTGTTTTAGTTTAGTATAGTTGTGATTCAAATAGCCAACCGTAAGTTACCTTTATGAGAGAGATTTACGATTGTATATGTATGTAAAGAAAAACATTTAATAAAGTTTCCATTATTATTATTATTATTATTATTATTATTATTATTATTATCATTATTATTATCATTATTATTATTATTATTATTATTATTATTATTATTATTATTATTATTATTATTATTATTATTATTATTATTATTATTATTATTATTATTATTATTATTATTATTATTATTATTATTATTATTATTATTATTATTATTATATCTAATTACGGAGCAGAAAAACCATTTCGAAACAGTCAAATTTATTAATTTGTCTATTAGTGCCTTGGGCGTTTTCTCAAAAGAATGTAGCACGTTTATGAAAATGTTGAATGAAGTTGGTCTTGATAAAAAACATCAGAACTTTTGTGTTAAGAAAATAATGTCCATCGCCATCAGAACAACGTACTATATATTTTGTTGTAGAAACAAGGATTGGACCGATCCGGACTTGATGAACATTTGAGAATGAGCTTTCTCTTAGTTTTATACCTGTAATATAGTTTTATCAATAATTAATAGTTCAAGTAGTCAATTATAAATTACCTTAATTAGTGAGATTTATAATTGTATATACATAAAATGTCAAAATAAAGTTTCCATTATTATTATTGTTATTGTCTTAATAATAAAAAATTCACTTTCCAGCTGAAAACAATTACATAGAACATAACATCCAGAAAGGTTTTACTCCTAACGTTGCAAGAACTCTTGAACACATTGCTCATATGGCGCATATAATCAACACAGCCCGTATAAAACAAAGATCTGTTACAATTACTTTGCTTGATCTTAGGACTATTTGCTATCAATCACCAACAAGGATATATGAGCCCCTCTATCATTACTGGTGAACAAAAGCGTCCTAATATCGTGGTTATAGACAAACAACGGAGTTGGGTATTTGTTTTGGAATTAACTGTCGGTTTTGAGACCAGAATTAAAGACAATGCTGTACGTAAACACAATCATTATAGTGGTCTATGTTCTGAACTAAGAAATCAGTATAACAAAGTAAAGTTTGTCAACATCTCGGATGGAGCTTTGGGAATTCTGGGAAAGAGCAGTCGTTCATTCATGGATTTATATCTAACGACTTGTTATTAGATAATAAAAAAAAACTAATTATCTAATTGCTAAAATAGGTGCATGTTGTATTAGATCAACTTATTATATATTCTGCCGCAAAGACAAGGACTGGACGGAACCTAACTTATTAACATGGTAGTATTTTTCAATTGTTGTAAATATACAGTATCTAAATATCTTTTACATTGTAAATTTTTAGCTTTCCCTTTCTTCCTGATTGTACCATAATTGAGCCTTCTGTCTGTGTTCCAGAGATTAAGGTTGTACCTTAGTATAGTTATGAAGTAAAATTTGATGTTTCCATTATTATTATTATTATTATTATTATTATTATTATTATTATTATTATTATTATTATTCGTTCTACATATTTTGCTGTAGAAATAAAGAATGGACAAATCCGGAACTAATGAACATTTAAAGTAACTATTTCAATAAATAATTAACAATTTTTGTATATAAAACTATAACCATGTATAAGTGATTCAAGTAGTCAATTGTAGGTTACCTCAAGAAGTGAGATTTACAATTGTATATATCTACAAATGTTCTATTAATAAAGTTTTAATTATTATAAAAAAGAATACTTTACGTAAAAATACTTTTCTCGTCGCGTATGGCAAAGTTGGGCGGGACTTTATCGACCAGCTAACACAACATATAAACGATTGGAACAACGCATCGCAAACACAACACATAGCGCTGAAAGCTGCAATTGTTCTCTTGGCAACGACACTGCAAAAGCCAAGCGTAAAATCGAAGGCAAAAGATCACAAAGAGTGCTTGGAAAAACGACTAGCGCTATGGAAAGAAGGAGAAATCGAGAGCCTACTTCGTGGAGGCCGGTCCATTCAAAAGCGTCTAGCAAAGGCTAAAAGGACCGATCCTCCAAATAAAGCGAATATATTCGCCAAGTTGGTCATGGAAGGTCAGATCAATTCTGTTTTGAGATATCTCAGTGAGGCTGATTGTGATGGAGTGCTGCCTTTGACTGACGACGTGATGAGACAGCTTCAGGAGAAACACCCTGAGGCACAAGAGGCCAAACTTGGCTCGTTACTCTTCGGGCCATTTGAGGAAGTGCCCGATTCGTTATATCAGCAGATTGATGGCGAAATGATACGCGAGATGGCATTGCAAACCAAGGGCTCCGGCGGCCCTTCAGGAGTGGATGCAAATGGATTCAACCGTATTTTCGCATGTAAATCGTTTAAGAAATCAGGCGTAAACTTGTGTGAGACAGTAGCAACAATGACCCGGCGGCTATGTACGGAATACATTGACCCGAGAACTATCGAGCCTATATTAGCCAACAGGCTTATACCTCTTGACAAAGGCGAGGGCGCGGTTCGTCCAATTGGCGTCGGGGAAGTTATCAGGAGGATTGTCGGGAAATGTGTTATGAAAGTGATTAAGCCCGACGTGATTGATGCCAGTGGATCGCTACAGGTGTGCGCAGGTCTTAAGAGCGGAAGTGAGGCAGCCGTTCATGCGATGCACTCCACAACATAACAGTTCTGTGTCCATGTATGTCAACCTACGCAATAAACACCTATCGCGAACCAGCTAGACTATTTATATCTGGTGGAGGAGAGCTCAAGTCCACCGAGGGTACCACAGAAGGGGATCCCCTGGCCATGGGGATGTATGCCATCTGTCTTCAACCCCTGATCACCGGATTGAATGTGTCAAGCAACGTTAAGCAATGTTAGTTTGCTGACGACGCGAGTGGCACGGGATTTCTGGAAGATATCAAGCGATGGTGGGAACACCTGAATGAAACTGGCCCTAATTTGGGATACTTTCCAAATGCTAAGAAATGCTGGCTGATCATAAAGCCTGGAAAAGAAGAAAGTGCTCATGCTATTTTTGATGGGAAAGCGATCAATATCCCTGCGCAGGGGCAAAAGCATTTGGGCGCAGCCTTGGGTTCTATGGCTTTCCTGGAAGAATACTTAAACGGAAAGGTAGAGGACTGGGTTAGCCAAATCGTCAAGCTAGCTGAATTCGCAGCGTCACACCCACAAGCCTGCTATGCCGTCTTCAGCTTTGGCCTCCGTCATCGATGGACGTATTTTCTTAGAACACTTCCAGATATAGAAGATTTACTGGAGCCCTTGGAGCGTGCTATTGCTAATGTCCTGATACCATCAATTACGGATCATCACTGTACAAAGAGTGAAAGGCATCTCCTGGCACTCCCAGTACGAATGGGCGGTCTTGGCCTTATAAATCTTAGACAGGATACAGCACTGCAGTACGAAACGTCGATAAAGACCACAGCGCCACTGATAGAGAAAATTATCGCACAAGCCTACGAAATTCCAGATGACTCTGTTATTCACACACTGCAGCAGAATGCGCGAAATGAAAAGAACGAAGTACTTCAGGCTAAACGGGATGGTATTAAGAATTCTCTACATACGAAACACGGCGTGCTATGGAACTAGCAACTGAAAAAGGTGCATCCAACTGGCTAACAGTTATCCCCATTAAGGAAATGGACTACAATCTGAACAAGGGTGAGTTTGGAGATGCAGTAAAGCTGAGATATGAGTGGAAAATTGCTGATAAGCCATCATGGCATGCGTGTGTGGCGATACTTTCAATATTGATCATGCAATGATCTGCAAGTGAGGTGGGTTCATCATACAGCGCCACAACGAGCTGCGAGATCTTGAGGCTGGTATGCTTAACATCGTCTGCAATGATGTCGAGGTTGAACCCGTTCTTCAAGAGTTAACTGGCGATGTTTTACCAAGAGGAGCAAATCACGGTTCACGCCGGGCTAATTCGCGACACAGAAGGCCATGATTTTTGTCGGCGAATAATATCCAAGATGGCGGTGAAATTTTCAAAATGGCCGTCATGGCTATTTTCGGATTTCCAAATTAAAATTTGATGGATATGAAGGTATTGAAAGGTTCAATTGTGGATCTTGTTGGATAATCGAGAACCCGTATGCAGTAGAATGCTGTCAAGCTGTTCAAGAAGACATGTTGTTTTATATTCGAAGGTAAAATAAGCTTGCTATCTTCGATGTCAGAATGCTGTTATAGTCTAGCCTCAGTCAGAATCCTGAAGTTAATGCTTTCGGTAAGTGAGATTTTCGTTACATTTGGAAATTTTAAAACCATAGAATTCTTGCTAATTGTCTGAAGTTATCTAATTCACAGCTTTTTGGGTTTTAGATCCATGTGCTTTTCACAACTTTTGCCCTTTTGCCTTTGGTTAATACAAATGCGTCTGTCCAGCGCAATTTTATATGGGCAAGAAGAAGTCAAGTAACAAAGCCGCCGCAAGAAAGCGCTTCCCTGTTGGCGAACTTTCTAGAAAAAGGCAAGAATTAAAGGAAATTTTCTTGGCTAAAAATGCAAGCCTGCAAGTTGCCAAAAAAGATATTGATAATGTTTCAAAGAGGGTGAGTATTGAGTGTTTATCAAACTCTACATCTACACTAATCTTTCAGTTAATTTAAGACTGCAGTGGATTTCTTAG